AGGGGATGGTGATAGTGGTGGTCATGATCATGGTCATGGAGATGCGGATGGAGATGGCCATGATTGTGGTTATGGGGATGGGGATGGTCATGATCATAGTCATGGTGATAGAGATGGTGATGGGGATGGAGATGGTCATGGGGATGGGGATGCTAATGGTCATCACGATGAGGATGGCGATGGGGATGATGATGAGGATGGTGATGGGGATGATGATGGTGAAGGTGATGGGGATGGTGATGGTGATGGTGATGGGGATGTTCATGATCATGGTCATGGTGATGGTGGCAGTCATGATCATGGCGATGCTAACGGTCATCATGCTGAGGATGGGGACGACAATGGCGGAGGGTGGGGGTAGGGATGGGGATGGGGATAGTGATGAAGATGGGGATAGTGATGAAGATGGTGATGGAGATAGTGAAGAGGATGATGAAGGGGATGGGGACGGTGATGGTGAAAGTGATGGAGATAGGGATGGGGATGGGGATAGTGATGAAGATGGTGATGAGGATGGTGATGAGGATGGTGACGGGGATGGTGGCGGTCATGATCATGATGATGGTGATGGTGGCGGCCATGATCATGATCATGGTGCTGCTAACGGTCATCACGATGAGGACAGTGACGGGGATGGAGATGGCGATGGCCATGGTGAAGGTGATGAGGATAGCAATGGGGATGGCGATGGTGAAGGTGATGGTCATGAGGATGGGGATGGCGATGGTCATGGGGATGGTCATCACGATGAGGATGGTGATGGTGAAGGTGATAGGGATGGCAATGGAGATGGTCATCATGATGAGGATGGTGATGGCGAAGGTGATAGGGATGGTGATGGTGAAGGTGATAGGGATGACAATAGAGATGTTCATCATGATGAGGATGGTGATGGTGAAGGTGATAAGGATGGTGATGGTGAAGGTGATGAGGATAGTGATGGGGATGGTGATGGGGATGGCGATGGAGATGGCGATGGTTATGAGGATGGTCATGGGGATGGTCACCATGATGAGGATGGTGATGGTGAAGGTGACAGGGACGATGATGGAGATGGTCATTATGATGAGGATGGTGATGGTGAAGGTGATAGGGATGGTGATGGAGATGGTCATCACAATGAGGATGGTGATGGTGAAGGTGATAGGGATGGCAATGGAGATGATCATCATGCTGAGGATGGTGATGGCGAAGGTGGTAGGGATGGTGATGGTGAAGGTGGTAGGGATGGTGATGGCGAAGGTGATAGGGATGGCAATGGAGATGGTCATCATGATGAGGATGGGGGTGGGGGAGGTGATAGGGGATGGCAATGGAGATGGTCATCATGATGAGGATGGTGATGGCGAAGGTGATAGGGATGACAATGGAGATGGTCATCATGATGAGGATGGTGATGGTGAAGGTGATGAGGATGGTGATGGTGAAGGTGATGAGGATAGTGATGGGGATGGTGATGGCGATGGCGATGGAGATGGCGATGGTTATGAGGATGGTCATGGGGATGGTCACCATGCTGAGGATGGTGATGGCGAAGGTGATAGGGATGGGGATGGCGATGGCGATGGTCATGAGGATGGTCATGGGGATGGTCACCATGCTGAGGATGATGATGGCGAAGGTGACCGGGATGGCGACGGAGCCGGTGCTGGAGATGACCATGAGGACGGTGAGGAGGAGGACGGTGCCGGGGGGTGGCGACTCACGGCAGCGGCTGGGGTGGCCCATGGCGGTCCAGGTGCCGTCGCGCTGGCACTTGCGCACCTTGGGCCCCAGGATCTCGCGCTCGGGCCGGCACACGTACTCGATCTCGTAGTCGAAGGGCAGCAGCCGGACGCTCCGCACCTCCTCCGGCGTCAGCCCCCGGTACCG